GTCTGCTGAGCCAGTCCACCTGTAACTCTATTATTTGCTTGTATTTCGACCTCTTTAGCCCCACAGTTCCTTTCACCACGCTCTTCTGTTTCTTTTCCTTATAAGCAAGTGAAACCCAGATGTTGTCTTTAAGAAACCTTCCCCGAACACAATGTTTGGACAGTGTGTTTTTACAGGCCTCATTTCCCAGCTTCCCTTTGTTGTAACAATGCATCCTGTTTCCATTAGTCTGTTGCTCTGCTCCTCTCAAAGGGACAGAAGACAATGAATGTATATAATACAGCTGAGCACCAAAACAGCAAGGAAACTTGGCTCCCACATACACGCAAAACCAGTTTACATTTTTTAATGAAAGGTTAATTTATCCGCAAGTTAGTCATGCAAAATAATAGGGTTGTACATTTAAACATCTTCATTACGTCCTATTTTGTATTTAGATTCTTATAAAGGCCTAGAAGCTCTGGTTTTCTAGTCTGCAGAGCTCATGGGAATTCTGACAAATGACTGCAGCTCGAGCTTCTTCTCACTTTTTCTCAGTTCTTTTCCTCTCCAGCAGAAATTTTGGCCATGGCTCATTTGTCCTTCTGCGCCAGCTATTCGTGTAATGGTTCATCACTGTTTGGTGTCTCTGCTCAGCCTTTCAACTTTGTGTCTTCTTCTATGTGTTACACATCCAGTGTCCAGGTTGCCCGAGGGATGCCTGACTTAAAATCGACTCTAATAAAGAGTTAAATTTGTCGACCAATATTGTTATTAGTAGTAGTAGTAGTAGTAGTAACTTGTGGTACATTATAACCTTTATTGCTACAAATTAGTAAAATGCAAACATTATTCTTTTCATGGTAACATTAAAGGTTTATGCCAAAAAAACTACAAATTTTTGCTTTTTAATTTTTATGTTTGTTCATATATTCAACTTTTTAATTAATTTCACTTAACCTAATTGGTATACTGAAAAGATTTGTTAACTTGGATGAATTAGAAAAAAAATGTAATGTTGTTTTCTTTAAATATTTTGAAGCTATAAGATTTCTTTGTTTATTGTTGATTGTCAACACCTTTTATTGAAAGCTTTGGTGCTGTTAGACATATTTTTTCCCTTAAATTCCTGCAGAAGCTGCGTGTAATTTTTAGTGATACTACCACTTAACAAATTAATTAATGTTAGAACATTAGTTGTAAATTATTTATCACAGAGTTGATTTTTCATAAAGTATCTCTTATGTATTTATGGCCACCTGTCAAACTTAAACGAACCGTAAAATAATAAAATGCATACGTTTTAGGGCTGATTCTAAAGGCGTGTCTTAGTCTGATATCATTTAATTAAGTAAAAGTACATACAATGGGGTAAAAATGGCTAATAAGTGAAAGTCCACAATATTTTTTTACACAAGTAAAAGTAAAGTAATTAAAAGTAAAAAAAATGTCTGTATTTTAAGAGTATGGGTTAAGGTGTTGCCAAATACACTAAAATAAAAAACTGTAAAAATGCAAGTCTGTTCAACTTCAGTATTTATATGGATGTCCAATATCATCGGTCTACTATTAATGTCAGCATATCGGCATTAAAATTTGATAATGGAAAATATTAGTATTGGTTTTCAGTCTTTTATTGACAACTTTTACATACCATACACATATTATACACCAAACTTCTCCGCCTCTTCTTGTCTCTCACAAAATGTTAAAATATAACAGATGTAAGCTCTAGTTTTAAAGATATTTTAGTTTATTTGGCACAACTTCTAAAGTAGAAATTTGGCCTGCAGTGAACGTACACTGTCCTCACAGCTAAACAGCTAACAAACGACAACAACAAAACAAGAGTTTTCAACCAAGACTTGTTTTTCTTCTAAAATGCTTTATCACTCTAACTGCAATATCCAGAAAAAGAAAAAATGCGTTACTAACTAATACACACACCTTAGATTCACACTTGGAGTATTTAAGCATGCATATGTGATGTTAGTAACATAAAAAGTTTTAGTTTTTCTGTCTATGAGAGGGGTGACAACATATATCGGTAGTACTGGTTTATATTGGTGTATTGTACTTTGTTTAATGCTTTTTTTTAAAAGGCCGTACGTGACCTAGTCATTACAATACAGGCTTTTTAACTTGTTCTATTTGAGAGTGCCTTGGAGTTTCTCTTGGTTTTTCGACTGAATCTTTCCATCCAAAGAGCACCTCAAACCAACGTATGTTGAGTCCAGGAAGCGCTCATTTATAAAAGTTCTTTATTATATTGGTATGTTAGGAGTCAGACAATACCGGTACATCGGATATCTGTAAAAAAGCCAGTATCCAGCATCCCTAATGTGTACAGATGTAAAACTAATACCCTGATTAAAGTAACTTATAACTCAAACTTTTGTAGTGGAGCAGACAGTAATAGCTTTAAAACAGTGTGAGGTAAAAGTAAAAGTACAGCTACAGAAAAAATGTGCCTAAGTACAGGAACTAAGTACTTGTACTTTATTACATTCAACCATTGTTTACAAGTTATTTAAGCTACAGTTATTCAACATTAGTTTACTTTTCATAGATTATTGGTGTTTTCTTGCTGCTGCTTCTTGGCCAGATCGTCGTTGTAAATGAGAATGAGTTCTCAATCGACTCATCTGGATAAATAAAGGTTAAATAAATAAATGCATTTTCTGCGTTTATTTAAATTCTAGTTCTGTAGAGTATCAGCACCACTCAGTCTCATTTGACTTAATCCGGGTCCACCCAGCTAGACAATATAGGTATTCATCCTTTAAACCAAAGCTAGCAGTGTCTGAAAGGGTCTCATTGTCTTAAATCCTCTTTTGGTTGCTTTCTGTCTTTGCACTTATCTCGCATGGTCACTCCACACCACTGGAGAGAATGGCACTCATTCAAGGACGCAAATCCAATATGTTTCACCAGTTTGGCAGCTAGGAAGCAAAAATCAGCCAGACAAATTTCCATCGAGCTTTCTGATGTGCACAGATTTATTGTTGGCTTATGTTGACGAGGGAAAAACACAGAACCAACAGGAAGCAAAATACTGAGGAAGCAATGGGTTATTTTTTTCAAACTGTGTGTTTGAATGTGAGTGTTTGTTTGGGAGCTTTTGCTTCACGTCTTCAGAAAGGGATTTTTTCTGGTGGGAAATGTTCTGTCTTCCTGTGGAGCCTCTTTTCATGAAGTGAGCCTGCAATCGGTCCCAAGCTGATGAATGCTGATGAATATTCACACAACTGACAAAGAGGGCTCAGATACACAAAAGCTGAAGCCAATTAGCGTTCCAACGCGAGGAGACAGTGAGAAATAAATTCAAGGATCTCAGAGGAATCATAAAATCGGTGGAACAAATCGATTTGAGTCCTAGTGGACTCTGACTTGCTGACGATGGCCAGAAGAGAGAATCAGCATGGGTGTCAAACTGGGGCCATGTGCTAATGCTGCACTCACGTAGGTGTGTGTTTTTGCTTTAAGGGCTGAGCCCTAACATTCTAGTTTCTGTCTCCATCTGTTGATTAACATCAACAATGGAGGTAGGTGGAAACCCACGCCCAACTAAACAAAAGATGGATTGTTTTATGTTAGTCTTGACCTTCTGGTGCTCTTCCCTCTGGTACTCACATCAGAACCTTTCACCTACTTTAGTGTCTATGTCACAGGAGAGATGACGATCCCTGTCCTTTAGACAGCAAAACCATGGTTCTGTAACCCCAGAACTTATCTATTGATCTTTAAATTCTCGTTTTTTATTAGAAACGTTTTTGGGAATGTGTTGATTGTTTTTCCATTTAGAATTTTTTTTTCACTTTACTTCGTTCAAATTTCCCCCTTTTTAATGTATAAACACCCTAATCAGATGTAGGATAATGGAATTATGGAAATACAATGGGAATATGTTTACTGATGTCTCGTAGATCAGCTATCAGTTTACGGTATGGATTAGGGGTGTGTATTTGCAAGAAACTGGCAATACGATATCACAATACAGCGAGACCATAGGATGTATCACAATACTAAAAGCAGGACAATATTAGCTTTTTTTAGACTGATTTTATTTGGAAAACTCAGGCCTGATGCTTCCACACATCAAGTGTTATTGTGAGATCTTGGTGTTTTGTCTGAAAAAAGGTGGAAAGTACTGCTGCCTCCTGACAGTTGGAGGTTGAATTGCACTACACCAAAGACATTGTTTTTAAATTCTCAAACAAAAACATCATTACACTACTTTCAAATATTTATTCTGTATCATAACCAAAATATCGTTATATGTCTATGTGCCGATACTGTCTCACATCCCTAGTCTTGATTGCTTAACAATAAGATGTTAATTCTGATAGTTATGCCACAGAAAACAGCTGCAGGTCAGAATTAGATCAGAACAAGTTTTAGATTATTTCATTAAGTTGTCTTCAGCACAAATATTTTCATTTTCTACTATATTCCCCATCATTAGCATTGATTAGATTTGATTTGTAATGCTTCAACAAATAATTGAGTAATCTGGGGTTAGATTAAAACGGATGAGGAGAGAACCTGCATCTCTTATTTACCTTAGAAGTCTAAATTCAGGTGTAGGATTGTTGTCAGAACTGCTTACTCATGGTCCAGCTGAGAATAGATACTTTGGACTGCAATGTATTGTGGTAAAGAAACTAAATAGTAAAATAAGTACAGAGCATTACTTTCTTTGTGTATTGTTTACTCTGTATATAAATTAAACTGTTAAACAAGTCAGTCAGTTGTCTTGTAGAAATGAACAGTAAATCCAGTATCCACCCATTTCTTAAATGTCATGATCACCGGTCCTCTTTAAGGTTTTGTTGCTTTTAATTTACTAACACTGCCAGAGTTTACCCTCGAGTACCCATAATGCAATAGGCTGAGGAGTGCATGGTGGTTGCTGTGCTTTAGCCATGCAAGCTGCTGATTCTGGGTTTCTGTGCCTTAAAACAGCATGGTGGTTGAACCAACATCTTCTGCAATAATCTGTCTGTGTTTTCCCCCTTTAGGGTGGTGCTATCTCAATTCTGTCAGCCTGTGAAAGACCCAGTGAAATTGTTGGAGTGGTTCTGATAGCGCCAATGGTCAAAATGAATCCAGAGTCGGCCACACCATTCAAGGTTCCTATTTTTCTTTCTGCTCCTGGTCTATAAAAGGACACTCCTTAACCCTCCCACTGTCTTTATGGGTGACCCCACGAGGAAAGTTGAACATTGAGCAGGATTGATGGTTTATCCCTTGAGGTCCACATGGCAGGAGTGAGGTGGTGCTCACTCCTCACCCCTGCCACGTGGACCCAAGGGAAAAACCATCAACCCTGCTCATTGGTCAACTTTCCTTGCGGGGTCACACCCATTAGAACAGTGGGAGGGTTAAGGCAATAATGCTTGGAGACACTAGGCAGTTTTGGCTTGCTTCAGCACCCTCTATTGTTTGTTTTAAATTACTGTTTAAACCAGCTGACCACATATTTTAAGTTTTACATACAAGCGCAATAACATGATCGCGAGGTCTGTATCCATTTGGAAACCTTATTTGTCTCTTAGCTCTTGCTTCCTGATGTTGACTGTTGTTTGATCCCCTTGTGGTCAGATGTTCTTTTTCTTTTCTTTGCTTTTTTTCAATGAACATTTTATGGGAAATTTCTGGAAAAATGCTAATACAGGAAGATGTCGGGAAACAGGACAGCTATAGTTCCGAGGTGTAAACATGGATTGCTTTAAAGTGTTACGGTTCTTGAGAGAAACATGACTTTGCAGGAATTCAGGTCACCGGTCTGAAGAGGTTCAAGTGGCAAATATGGTATCTTGTCCACAAGGAGCAGATGGGACAATTCATTCGCCTTGTAAAGCAGGGGTCCTTAACTAAATTTGTTCAAGGGCCACAGTTTTGTCCAGCAGAAGCCATGAGGGCCAGATGCCCTTCTACAATAAAGTTCAAGTAATATTGTATCTCAATATCTTAATATTTAAAATGGCTTCGTTTTCCATCTACACTGTTTTGATTGTAGTTTGAGTAGTCTTAAACAATTACTTATATTTGGGACATGAATATTGCTGCTAAACTTAAACGTCCCCCTTTTGTGGAACATTAGGGCCCAAAGGGTTGGGGGGCCAAGTGGAAAGGTCTGGTGGGCCGGATGTAGCCTTCGGGCCACTAGTTGAGGTTCACCGCTGTAAAGAGTTTTTAGCACCTACTGGCTCAAGGAAATGATTTAAAAATATGACAAAGTTACTTAGTGTACCTTTCATAAGGATGTTCGATTTTGGCTTTTTTACCAATATAGTCTTAATTCTCGATACCGATATAAATTGATGCCAATACATGCGGGGTCTAAAAACTAAATAATATTAGGTAATATCTCCTACCATCCATACTTAAACTTTAAATATTATCAGTGAACTAGCAGTAGCTAGTAGCTAGAGCAGTAGCTTGCAGGTTCGATCCCGGCTCCGGACAGAGAACTCTGCTGTTGTGTCCTTGGGCAAGACACTTAACCCACCTTGCCTGCTGGTGGTGGTCGGAGGGACCGGTGGCGCCTGTGCTTGGCAGCCTTGCCTTTAAGTTAAGCCAGTTGTGCCAAACAGATAAAAAAAAAGCTGACATATTTTGACTTTTTGACTATGGAGAAATAAAAAAATGTATTATCATGTTTTCTTCAAAACTGTTTTCAGGTTTTCGTGGCAAAGATCCTGAACCACATGCTGCCCAGCCTCCCTCTGGGCTCCATCGAGTCCAAATGGATCTCACGGGACCCACATCAGGTTAGAGACAGACGTAGATCAGCGTGTGGTGGCGGGTCAGTGTGCTGTACTGGTCTGTAATTGAAATATCAGGAGCATGTGGTAGAAGGAAAATCCTGAGGCCTTAAGGGGGAAGAACGTGCATGTTGATATTTTCATTTGTTTTCATATTTTTGGACATTCCCTGGAGGAAGGCCCCCCCCTTGTGAAACAGGCTTTGAGGGTTTATTTGTTCAGACATTTATTGTTGGTTACTATTTAAAACTATAAACATGGTGTATTTACTTTGTCTCACACCCAAACCATTTATATAATCCTTCAGATTAACCACAGGAGAGCCAGAAACACACACTCAGTCACGTCCACACACCTGCACAGACACATATTTGCTCCTGAATGTGATCTGTGTTGTGTGTGTGCATATACGTCAGCGGTTTCACATCCTGTGACTTCTGCTTCCTACCGTCACCTTGGGGAAGTTGTGTTTTTCCCACACACAACAATAGAATGATGTGACAGACTTGACATATAACATTTGTGAAATGATTTAGTCAGAGCCAAATTATGTGCAAGTGTATTCCTCTACTCGATGGGACTGCTCTCAGTACCCACAAGTACCTCAATTTCTGCTTATGAAATAGTGCTTCCTTGATCTGCGGTCGCGATCTTAATGGTGGAGCGCTGCAATGAGCCGGCTTATGTATATGCATGAGATCCACAAGGTACTTTGCTTTGACCATTTATGGCAGAAAGTGGGCGTGTTGAGGGCGGGACATGACTCTGAAACAGCTGAGAACCTTTCTAGTTAGTCTCTGATTTATAAAGCGGAGATCGCGTGAAGCTGTGTGTGATAACATTTCTGCTTTTTGTAGATTGTGTGAATTTGTTGGTGTCTTCAAAAATGATCTGACATAGCCAGGATGAGAGTCACCTTTTAGTGGGCGAGGCCTATAAAGACAGCTTGGTCATTTTTGGAATCAAGTCGTTGGTGTGTTTTGTGTTCACTTAGAAATCAATATCATTGTAAATGAGCCTAATGTTGCTCAGTAATACTTTTTCTTATCTGTGGCATAACGTTATGGTGGTGAAAAGATGAATGATTGAATTTTTTCAGGACGTGTTCAGCTTGAGTAATGTCAGTTATGGAAACCGATTAGTGTAAAAACCTGCTTGTAGCTGGTGTTTTCGGTGCGTCTGATCTGATTCTGACGAGCATCAAGATAAAATCCTTTCATTCTTGATGGGAATGACGCCTTCTATTAATAGTAAGTCCCAGCAGGAGGACTGAATGATCTGATGGTAAAAGAATCATTTTAAGACTCTTATGCTGGAAGTTGTTTTTTATCACCTCTGACATTTTAGAAAAGTAATTTCTGCTGACACTGATCTCGTCTGTGTTCACTCAGAAACTGAATACTCATGAGTTTAGTGCACAGCGTGTATGATGGGTGCGTCTATTTCTGTTCAGGTCAGACTTAAGCTCATAAAAACTTTCCTGTTTTATATTTATATTCTTAACAGTCTTCCTCTCACTTAGTTTGCAACTTTTATGGGTTTTAATAGCTTCGTTTCCAGTCATTCTTGTGTCACTCCTTTTAGAAAGCCAAAAAAGGAGCTTTCTTTGTAAACGAAAATTTGTATCTAAAAATTTTGTTTGTAAACCCTAACTTCTTAAATTGTGTACCCAATTACGGACATTAAAGATGCTCAGAGTGAAATAAGCCCTTGTATTTCTATCTAGTATAAACATTAGAAAAATATATTTAAATGAGAGTTCAATGTCAATTATTAAAAGAGGACATATTATGCAAAACCCACTTTTTGCATCCTTTTGAGCTGCCATGTAGGTCTCTGGTGTTTCTATAAATACTCTAAACATGAAAAATATCTGTCCATCCATCTTCTGTCAGTGTTTAGTTTCAGGAATTTTGTGTCTAAATCAAGCAGTTTTAAAAAATCCCCAATTGTGATGTCACAAATGAGGAAATCAGCATAGAACCACCTATCAACTCTCTACGTTGAAGGAGGAGCAGCTCTACTCTGAGCCCCTCCCAGATGTTGAAACTTCTCACCTGATTGGGGGATGGGTGGGCGTGGCCAGCTCTGGCTTGCTTTCTTAAAGTGATAGGCGCCCTGAAACGGCTCAATCTGGAAGGTACATAAACTGTCAAGAATAAAACAGCTGAAATTGCTTTGTGTGGGAGAGATTTAGTGAAAAGAACGTCACAAACATGTGTTGGATCAACCATAGAAATAACTTTAAACAGTCATAATCTGTCTCCTTTAAGATGTATATTGTGTTTATTTTATTGTTGCCTCTGAAATCTTGTCTGTTTTGTCTAATATTTTCCAAACATTTCTGTAAAATCAGGCTGTGTTCAGTGTTAAAGCTGTTCTCTCCCCTATCAGGTGGAGGCGTACAACAACGATGCGCTAAATTACCATGGCAGGTTACGGGTGTCCTTCGGCATGCAGCTGATGGTGGCGACAGAGCGCATCGAGAAGGAGATTCCAAACATCAAGTGTCCCTTCTTGATCCTACACGGTGACGCTGACAAGCTCTGTGACATCCAAGGCTCCAAGATGATGTACGAGAACGCTCCAAGTTCAGACAAGAGAATCAAGGTGAGAATGATTCATTAACCCTGAGTTAAACCTAACTGAGTTATCAGATTTAGATTTTTTTTTTAAATCTAGTTTACTTTTTCAGTGTAGATTGAAGATTTTCACTGAATGGCAATAGCAAAATTGTTATTTTTCAGTTTTAGATGGGTTTAGTGGTCAGCTAAATTCAGAATCAACTACTTTATTTTTAGCTCTCTTCCCATCAGCCTGATGTAATATGTCTCCATTATGTGGAAAAGATCAAGGCCTAAAATAAGACTAGCCTAGTGAACCAGACCAAATCCTTGCCTTGTATATTTATTTAGTCTGACTTTCCAGGCTAAGACTCTTATAATTTAATAGGATATTGTTTTCTTCATTTAAAAGCTGGATGATTAAATAAAGATTGGCTTCAATTGTTTTTCTAATCTGCAGATATATTTATTTCAAATGAGTTTCCTTATCTGGCTTTTTTTAACAATAGCTTTTTTATCTTTTTTTATTTTACATGCCCACTCCGGTCTGTTATATAGTGTTCTTTGTACTTTAGATATTGAATTTATGACATTGAATTTTTATTCTGTGAAATTATGTATTTGATTATTTATGTCTTAAAATACACCTGTAAAAACTTCATCAGTAAAAATTCAACAACAGAATTTCAGCAGCAAAAATATAACTTCAGAAATTCAGCAGCAAAAATTTTACAACTTAGGTGAAGCTGGTGACCCAAGCCAAAAAGATTGTCCTTCAATCAAGTCGAGTGGCTTTTGGCCTTCTCCCATCACAAGTGAGGTGCTGACTCAATCGAGTGAGCTTTGGCTTGGGGTCACCAGGAGGTCACCTCATTTGTTGTTGAATTTCTGAAGTTGAAATTCTGCTGTTGAACCTTTGTGGGTAAAATTGTTGCTGGTGTGTTTAAATTATAAAAAAAATCTACAAAAATTCAAAGTAAAAAAAGTCATACTCTGGTGAGACTATTTCTTCCATAGAAAATATTAAAAATAAAGAATAAAGGTAAAACAAAAGCTTTATATATAAATATAATTTTATTTTTTACTGAATGCATCTGACCTAATATTTTGACAGCTCTATGATGGAGGCTACCATGCTCTCCATCATGACCTTCCTGAGGTGGTTGAGTCTGTGCTGAAGGATGTGTCTGACTGGATCACAGAACGACTTCCCGTCGCGACAACGCCGCCGCAGCAGCAAGGCTTGTAGATTTCTAACTCACAAAGTTCAGTCAGCGCTCCAAGGAAACTCCCGACCTTGTCTAACCGGTCCTGAAGCTTGTCTGGAATAAGATACACTACTATTCCTCGGTTTTGGAGACACTTTCAGACAAATATAGATAAACTTTAAGTCTATTAGAAAAGTTAATTAACTCAATCTTTTGAGTATCTACTGTACTTTCTCTGTACTGTCATAGGTCAGACCACTGATTTCAAACAGTTGATGGTTTCAGACACTTTTAATTCCTGAAACTCAGCAGCAGTAGTCAGTTTCCCAGCAGAACTTGTGATCAGGGATGTGCCTCTTGTGTTCCAGCCAGTGGGCTTTTTCGATTACTGCTTTCTTTATCGACGTAGAACTGCTGTTGTGTGCAGAAAATCACATGAAGATGAAATAAGCAAGGGTTTCAAGTGCAATAATGAAGTTAAACTCATCTGCAAATGGGCATTTCTTTTCTCTTTCTTTTTTTTTTGTTTTCCTCATCTGCCATTTACAAAGAGGTCAAAGGTCAGGGCAGCATGTCTGGAGGAGCTGTCAGATGATGATCCGTTCAGGTTGGCTGACTTGGGACATTTATACAACCAGAATGAAAGTTTGTTTTTACTCCTCTCAGCTGTATCTTAATCTTCCTTAATTGCTGTTTTCCTTTATGAGCAGAAACTTCTACGTATTTATACCAGATCCTGTCAAATCCTGACTTCTCCCATGGGTTTCCTTTGTTTAACCTGAACACAGGTGGCTGCTTATTTCATGACAATTTCTTAAAGGCGCTGAAATGATGCATCAGACGTATCTCTTTTAATTAATAATAAATATTAAAGGAGATTTTTTAATACTGAGCCAACCTGAGTCTCACTTAAACAATAAACATTTATTAACCAGGTGTTCTTTTTTAAATGTTTTTATCTTTTCGCTTTGTTTTAATTTAGGCTTGACATATTTGCTTGGTAAATTCAAAGTACCTTAAAGAGCAAGTCACCCCCTACAAGAAACTTACTTCACTCCCTCTTCATGTTTGAAAAATGCAACAAATGCTGTTGCCTAGCAGACCGAGAGGGCGGAGCCGCTAACAAATACACACACAACACACACACACACACACACACACACACACACACACACACACACACACACACACACAGGCTCACAACGGCATTGTGACATCATAAGGACCAGTTTACATCATAGCATACCTCTTAGCCAATAGCGGTGGCAGATTTAAATTGGAATGCAGTGCAGAGTTTTTACCTGACAACGGCACAACACTGACAGTTTAAGGCAGAAAATTACAATTTTAACTAAAATGCACTAAAGTACAAAACTATTAACTACACGTGTCTGCAGCACAATTAGGCACACATTTATATAGTTTACCAGAAAAAAAAGTTGATTTGGGGGTGACTTGCTCTTTAAAGAACTTTAAAAGGTAATAATGTTAATTATAATAATTATATTATTTTGGGTGAAATGCATAAAGACGTAAAAAGAAGTTGTATTCTACTGTAAGTCAAGGTCATAAAGACATTGTAAAAAAGGACACATCAAGTTTACTTATTTAGCACATAAATCTTTTTTTTTAAATAAAATTAATATGTGCCATTAACCATGGCAGATATAACATTGTCATTTCAAAGAGGCTATGGATTATTCTGTCAACTTATTTAGGGGGTCTGCCGGTGTTGTACCATAAAAAGCATCCCTTGCTGTTTGTTATTGTGCTTAGAGATGAGCTTTCCTTTAGCCTAATGAATTAGCCGATCAGTTTGCTTACTTCTTAATTGACAATCATGGTATAAAATTCAATTCAATTCAGTTAAAAAATACTTTATTAATCCCAGAGGGAAATTGATTGCTGTAGTAGCTCAGAATAATAATAATAATCAAGTCATCAAAGAGTTATTGTATATTACAATGGCTGTTGGCAGGATCTCCAGTAGCGGTCAGTGTTGCAGCGAAACTGAAGAAGCCTCTGACTGAAGACACTCTTTCGTTGTCGGACAGTCTTGTGAAGAGAATGCTCAGGGTTGTCCATATTGTTTTTTGTACTTTATATCAGAGAAATCAAAGCAGTGGTTTTAGCTTAGTCTCTGTTATTTTCAGCCCTCCCTAACAGCGCTACTCCATACCTGAATTCCACTATGACTAGCAATAATTTCAGCTTTTATTTCTGGTAGCACTCTAATTATAGGCTAGAAAGAAAGCCAGACGCTAAGATCAGCGTTAGGTATCATCATGCAGTTTGTAATTAGCAGCTACCTGATGGTTCCACAGATTCATCAGTTGTGCGAAAATACTGATTAAAAAAAAGTTCAATGTTTGGGCTTTGTGGATAATCTGACCCAATACCAGCCATTTGTAGATTTTGATATATTACGTCTTTTTTATTTCCAAAAAATAACAGTGAGCTAATTCTGTTTTTTTTTTTATTTAGATGTTTAACCCCGTAGAGATTAAAGACTTGTGCATTAAAAAGACAATGTAGGGGACATGGTGTGGTATCCATGGTTACTAGTAGTCACAGCAGCAGTCTGACAGCGACGTTTTGTTTTAATTACATTTACACATCTCATCACCGGGGTGATTCCAACCAGAATGGTAGAATGAGGTGCATGTCTGCTTTTTTTTCTGCATCGTGCCAACTTCCCGTCTCTGCTCTGTCTTGTCTTGCCCTGTTTTGCTACGTTTGATCTGTTTTTATTTCTTTCTCCTTCATTTTTTTTACCTCCAAGTGTTAATGAACGTTCTTTGTTCTGTTTATCACATGTGCCATTGTTTTGCTTCAGATTGAGACATCTTGTCTACAAACACCCACAACTGCCACAAACAGCAAACTATCAGAGCAGCAACATGCTACAACGCAGAGATATGATATCTATATTTCTTAGGTATTTTTTTGCCAGACCGTTTTTTCTGGATCTTTCTCAGAACTGCTTATCTTAAAGTTCAAGTGTTTTTTAAATGTTTTTCAAAAGAACACTTTGCAAATTGCAGAGGAAAGTTTGATTGATTGATTGATTGATTGATTGATTGATTGATTGATTGATTGATTGATTGATTAAAACATGCCCAATTAAAAAAAAACAGGAAAAGCAAAACTTACAGCAAGTACTAATAAACATTCATTCATTTGCACAGGTTTTAGAGAATTTTCTGTCTGAACGACGTGTGTGAGTGAAGGTATAGTTGGAAATGCAACCTACTGTATACCTGATTCCCTGCAGGAGTCAGACCCTTATACCCCAACCAGAACTGTGAGCATTTCAGACACAATCTCCCCCTAATTAGGCTGCAACAGGCAAACACAGCACACACACACACAGGCTGCACAGTCCCAGCTGAATTCAAACACCTAATGGCTCCCCTGCTGCACCACATCAGCACAAAGGGTTCAGCTCACGGGGTAATTCCAAAGCCCTACCTGTCAGACTGCGTGAGTCGATATTACTGCTATTGTTTCCGTGTGAGGATAGGGACAAGAATGGGATGCTGTGAGAGAATAGAGAGGAAAGAAGATGACAGTAACCATGGCAGCACTTTCTTTTTTTTTTCTTCCTGCAAAAAAAGACCTCAGTAAAGACAAATGGCTTCATTAATTCAGTGGGAAGTATGGCAGACGGTTCTGCGCTCTCAGGGCTTGTTGTCCATTTGCTGCTCTGAGGATTCCCTTTTGTGTGAGTGTTGAGATAAGAGAAGGAATTACTAGCATCATCAGCTCACAGTGAATAATGAGAGCTGCATAGACTCAGTCCCAAACAAAGGACACCATGTTCAGCTTATATAAGGAGGAACAATGTGCATTACTCTCTACATTTAATGGTGCATGAAGTAAGAAGGACGTGCTGTGGTCAAATTTGGGTACTGCAGTCCATGAATCAAAACAAACGAGTCTGCTCTGAGCAATCGTTGCTAGTTAGGGATCAGCACCAGAAGATTCCAGACGATAAAGGTGAAGACGAGTCATACGCGGTGCATTGAGAAGTAGATAAACACATTTCACCGTAATATCATGTTTTTAGTACTAGAAAAAAATCTGCTTGAGATATTTTTAGAACTGAGTATTTTATTTCTAATTCACCATTAGCATTGTTTGCTCATTGTTAGCCTTTAGCCTACATTACCCGACATTAGATTAAAACAAAAAGGATGCTGTGGCTTCTTGGGATCAAAAGAATTAACTTCTGGGTCGCTCCTTTTACTAGCTTCTGTTTTTTTCCTCAGTGCTGCTGCTCTTTGCCGGCCGGTGTCAAATTACAAGTGCCAGCACAGACGGGCTCTGGAACAGGGAAGTATAAAGGAGGGACTGATTGTAAAACATGGCAACAACCCTCTGTGACCTTTTAAAAAAAGTTAACATGGCAACCCTCCAGCCAACTAAGAATGAAATCTGATCCAATGTAAAATTCCTTCCAACACGACTGAGACATTAGACTGTTTTGTAAATATTTTGCTGTAAAAACCGTATTTACGGCTAGTTAATACTTCTCCATCTGAGTCGGTGCGTAGACATTCAACACCATTATCTGTTGTTGCAAGGGCTCTCCAACAAAGCTCAAGGCAACAAGGTTGGACGTGGAGCCCATTTTTCTAAATATCTGTCGAAAGCAATGGAGACCGCAAGCCTGTGATTGGTCCGGACGCAGCTTCCTCTAACTTTGTTGACAACACTGCCATTCCCCCTCAAAAAAATAAAATGAGAACCGAACGTGTCTAGCGACAGACACGGAACAGATTGAAGAACGTCTACGGAATAAAGTCAGACGATATAAATGTTAATACACCCATAACTAAAGAAGTACAAAGATATGCAGCAAACGTTTTATCCGTGTCAGGAAATTACAGGAAACGCGAGTTTAGAGGTGGTGACTGGATGTAGAGGTGGAGGACAAATGTGTGTTAAAAAATCTCTAAAATACATAAACACAATGTAAACACACTAGATACGTGACTGCATTGATGGCAAAATGATCTAGTAAAGCTCTACGCTCTCCGCTGTCCTGGTGGAGAATTGCTTCACAACACAGACACCAACAGAGAATTATAAAGGAAAAGGTCTTCGGCAGTACGCGTGCATGTGAGCGCAAAGTTGCTGACAGAGAAGTATAAACTCGCCTTCAACGAACAAGATTTGTGGAACCAGTTGACACAACTTGGTCAAGTAAATTCAACATTTCTCTTTTAGAGTGTGACGATTCTACGGAGACTTTTTAGTTTTGTTTTGTTTTTCACCAACATTCGTGCATTCCCCCTCACTCACTTTTTCGGTTTGCAGATCCTGTCCTCGTCTTCTCAAGCATTTTCCTTGCCAACTTTCACATCTACTGCATTCAGTCTTCTCATACTAATTCAGCCGCGTGCAAATGCTCAGTTAATGACTTATAATCCACTCGACTAATGAGATCCATCTGAGTCAGGACAGAACAAAAGCAGCAAACCACTGAATCTTAACTCAGCTGCAATTCAACTGGTCTGGATCATCAATAGGACCTTTGTTTCTTTCCTTTTTTTTCTTGACTTTATGACTGTTTCTAAGAGAAGAACTGTTATATATGATGAAGGACCAATGGGAAACAGGCCAGTCTTTCTATGGTTTAATGAGATTATCTTGTGCTGGAACGACTCCGTGTTTGCATGGATTTAGTCGGTGCTCAAATTTTGAGCAAGAGTTGAATTAGATTTTGCCAAAATGCTGTGAATAAAAATAAACGAACACTTTTCAGGTTGATGAAGTTCGACTTTTTAAAAGGCAGATGAAAAAACCGAGAATCAAACTCTAATTGAACTCTTGCTGGTTTTACAACTTACTGACTAAAATATTTCATTGTTTTTTGATAATCTGTTGTAACACGCTGTGTATTAACATCCTCAACACTTGTTTAAAATACACAAAGAATGCATTGTATTTTTCATATATTTTATTTATCTTGTTTAGGATATTTTAGAATAGAGTCTTCATCTATTGGATGTACTGATGACACAATGACATTTTTACACCATAATTCTGTCATGTTTCTGTTACTCGACTGTTTTTGTGCTTGTCACAAATCCTACAAATGTATTAAATGGCTATGTGGTTTATTTGTATAAATAAAAAAAAGAAATAAATGCCTTGATACTAAAAATGAACCCTCATTCAGTTTAAATTTGAATGTATAAAACAGCAGATTCTGTTTTTTGGGGAGGACGAAATAATCCCAAAGTGGTTGGCAGAGTTTCAAAATTAAATGAAAGAATCTTCCCAATATTACATAACATTTTAGATTTGAGCACATTAATTTTATTCAATTTGTCCAAAACTAAAAAAAAATTAAATTATGTAAATTTTAATTCCTAAACTGAAAAATATGGCAGAAATGTTTTGTTTTATTTGGCATTTGTGTTGCTAAGTGCTGTATAACTGAGTGGTGTCATTGTGTCATTTGTGCCTTATTACTAAAATGAATGAATGTATTACTTTTGCATGAATCCATAAGTGTATCTTCATGTTTGTGGCTCAGATAAAGAAGAGTTTTCTTTGGTTGTGTTTTGTCTATCTTCTTTATTTACCTCATTCCATTTACTGCATCATAATCTAATTTATGTTGTGTTTATGCAGATAAACCAGTTCTTGGCACACTATTTGTAATATTTGCACTTTTCTCAAAAAAAGAAACAACATTTTATTATTCAATGCTGGTCATAATTATTGGAAAAGTCAATGTTTCATTTAAATGGGGAAATTTTGAAAATAATTGTAATTGTCTGTATAGATAAAACGTTATCAATAGAAGGGATTTTATAGTTAACTGTCCTATAAGACGCGCGGGAGGGTCAGCACTGCAAGGACTGCACCCATTTTTTTAAGCAATATGAAAAGTGAAAATGAAAAAAATATTGACTCATACGTGCACGTGCGTCTCAGATTTCTTAAAAGGGAGTTCATAAAAGCATCATCCTGACTTAGAAAAAAAACATTTTTTTTGTCATTCTTGAGTCTTCCTTGTAAAAGTCTGTGTTTGTTTGACCAGGCTGAAGGACGTTATTTTCAACTAACTCAGTGCAGATGTTTATCTATCATGTGACATATGTGCAATGTTGTTTGTATACCCCTAAAGATGTACTCCAAATCATAAGTCAATTAAAATTCAGGTAATAAATCATCGTCTCGTAAAAAGTCTTGTACTTTTCACTAATGCACTGAAACCACTTGTCAAGTTGAGGATCAGCAATTGACCGTCGGCATCGAGTGTGACAACATTTTTGTACATAAGAGTATAATATGGGGATTAACTGGATCTCTGAATGTCAAATGATTAATTGCTAAACTGTTAATAAAAGTTAATTCACTCTATCAGAATAAACTGCATCAGTGTTTAAATGTATGGGTGAAGTTTTTTTTAAACAGATTATTTCAAGCCACATGTTTAAAGTTGTTTTTTATTCCCATCTTTATTTGCAAACACACTTTAAAGATGTGTAAAATGGGCTGAAAATGGATGGATGGATCATCAGCATTATTGTTATAATAATAATAATAATAATAATAATAATAATTATTATTATTATTATTATTATTATTACTATTATTATTATTATTATTACAAGAGAACTAGAAGCTTAACAGTTACAAAACACCAGAATTAATAAAAAAAATGTAAATGGTCACTCAGTTCTTCATTCAAATGGAAAAACTGACCACTTTTTATGGACTCCACTGTCAATGTAAGTGGGTTTTAGAAGGTAAAATGAGGTTTTACAGAGTAATTTTTATGTGGTATCAGCTGTAAGTTACAATTGTGCACTTTTTATTATACATTGGTATTTGATAGATTAATATTTATTTGCGGGTAAAATAAAAAGAAAGGGGGTGAATAACAGAGCTTTCAAACAGCTCCATTAATCCACAGCTGAAAAGATATTGACTGGCCAGTAGGTGGCAGCATTGATTAAAGAAATTGACTGAGGAGTCTTTTTATGTGAATGTGTTTGGAGCTCATGGAATCAAAATGTGAATGAACCATTCATTTAACAACAAAAAAAAGCATTTTATTTAAATCAAATTTTTTATTGGACTATATTTATTTTCTTTATAATATAGTTACGGTAGAGTAGATTTGTTCTGGGCGTGGAGTTTGACACTAAAAATAAAAACTGTTATGTTTTTGTTTTCAAAAATTAAGCATTTCCCTTAATCATTCTAACACGATGTAAGTCTTTTTTGCACTGATGAGGACATGTCACAGATCACATCACTGCGAACATATTATTTTATCTATCTATAAATGTGAAACGGGATTTTCTGAAGGTATGCTATATTTATTTATCCCTTTCTTGCTTGTTTTTCTGTCTGTCCCATTTTCATGAAAATATGGGCCAGCAGCTCTCTCTGAGACATTTTTGGAACTGGCTGAAATCACATCAAAAGCAATTCCCAAAAAGAAAACACTTCTAGAAAACCCAAGATCTGAATTCACACTGTAAATATGAATATCAATCTGTCACTATCGGATGGAGTCCATCTTATTCTAATAACTCTCCACAGGGACGTTTTTATGCAAAAACTCATTCATCATCATTATATTTTATGTTTAAATAAACGAAAAATTCCCAACATGTTAAATACAATTTGATTCATGTTTATTCTGTTTTCCCAGCAGGGAGAGCCCGAAGGTTTAGTTTTCCTCTGTGTTAGTTAAAAACAAAGGCCTGAGCCAATCAGAAACCGGTTCAAGGAATTAAATAAGGCCTCTTTGTGACCATGGCAACAGCCTTGCCTCAGTGACAGAAATGAAAAAGGAGATAAAACACAAGCTAGGGTGGTCCTTCACAAACGTCCCAGAATAGTTAAATGTTCAGTGAAACTCGGTGACCCAAAATGTAGTACGGTCCATTCTTCTGATGGAAATGACCACACGACTTTTGGAACCGGAGAAATCTAAAGTAGAAAGATGAGAGTGAGAAATAAGAGTCCTGCAGTAACGCTGTGTGCAGGAAAATAGAAGGAAAAATTAAGCAGAGCAATTTACTTGGATGAAATTCGATTTAATGGGTGCATGGTATTTGATGTTGAGGGCCAAATAGTGTTTGTTTAATCTGAAATGACCTACAAAGGCTGAAAATAATTATTTAAAAAATGATCATTTGCAGAAGAAAATTAGAACGTGCAAAAGGTAAAGCACCTTTGAACTAATCAGATTTGTTTATTTTTCGTTTTTACCATCTGAATGTTTGATTACAACCTTTCGCTGTGTTAAAAAATGAAACTGCTTCTAATCTGCAATTGTGAAAAGGATGTTTTACTTGCAGAAAAATATTTGAATTTACTGGTGTTTATTTATTTATTCATTTATTTATTTATTTATTTATTTATTTATTTATTTGTCTTAGTTATTTCGTCGTCTGTGACGGCTTTTGAAAGACATCCCATCAATACAGCAGATGCATTTCTCAAAAAATCATCGCTGGTTGAAAGCAAGATGAATTTAATTTTTTTGCTTAGACCTCGAAGGTTTCAATGCCACTTCAGGAGGTACGGCTCTCTCCGTAGTGTCCAAATAAGGTTATGCCTTTAGTCACGCCTCTTCTTGAACACCTGCTTCCAATTGGCTATAATTTTCTATAGGTTTGCTCTCATTGGTCAAAATTGTTGTCAATCAATGTCAAACGATTTACGCTTATCGAGTAAGCCCCGCCTCCTCATGCTTTCTGGAGCCAGCGGTTTATCCGTGCATGAAGAGCTGTGTGGATTACCTCGTTGGGAGACAGTAGACCTGCTTTCGGCTAATTTAGCTGGCTTTTTGCGTTGTTAGTACTATCACCGAGTAATTGCCATTGTTTAAAGTTCTGTTTCCCCCCCAACGGTTCTTCTGGTTCGGAGGTGTGGCTCAATGGTGTAAACGGCGAGCAGAGCTCACAGCACGCTTCGCCCACTTGGCTGCAGCAGCTGACTTGTGCATCTTGCTCAGAGCGGAGTTTCCAAAAGAAAACTATCTAGCAGGTCAGCCACTTGGCCTGCCTGCAGCTAGCTAGCTAGTTTTTTTCTTTACTGCCACAATAAGTCCCTCCCTCGCCAATTGCGTGGACGACTGACTCACTGCAGCGCCGAAGTCGAGTACACCCCCCTTCCTCTGAACTTAGCCAGCATCCTTTTACACCTGGCTGGCAAAGGGTATTAGCCCCGCGCTGGTTAGCGACGCTAGGTGACGCTAACACAAAAAACCCGTCTTTTCTGGAAGGACGCAATACTGGCAAAGGGACTGACTAATAAGAAGAGGCTAAATAAGAGAACAAGGAAGACACCGAGGGGGCGACTGGCTAGTTTAGCCGGGGAGCGGTAATTGCACGTAAGTACGAAAGCAGCCTGTTAAACGGCTTACCTGTCTGATATAGCTTGCAGTGTTACATAGCATCGTTTATCCTGCCAGCTTTCTGATTTTAATGCTGCGGCTTAGCACATACTGTCCGTGCGCCATACAACACAAGCTAACGGTGATAGCATGGTAGCCAAGAACTGATGAAGAAAGCGCCCGTTCAGTCGCAGCGCGACCACGTTTGCTACAGTAATTAATTTTTAACAAACGCGTGTCATTATGTTTGGTCAACTTTGATCTGTGGCCCTATCAGTAACCCGAACCGGCGCATTGCTGTTAGGATTAGCTTAGCTAGGTTTGCTAGCTAGTTTCACCCGGCTTCCCACCCAAGTTGGCAAGTCAGCTTTCGACATTTGCAAAGCAATAAATGTTAGTGAAACTCTCATCAACATCACTAAACATGTTCCCACTTCTTTACAAACTCCTATCTGTAGAGTGCATCTGTGAGAACTCGGCGTCCCCGCTTTAGCCTTTTGATAAAGTTGTCTCTCAGGGACAGCACTTCATAAACGTTATTACATTGCTTTAAATGGGATTATAAAGCTATTTTGATTATTCATTCTTAAATCGCCTCCTTTCCTGGTATTTATCACTTGTTATGCTGACCTGTCATCACATAATATACATAATTGATGAAATAACAAAAATTACATCTTATTAACTTAACATTTATAAACCCAATAATTACATCTGTACTCAAACACACGTGAGGTGTTGTCCCAGAATAGTCTGTCAAGTTGTCTTTCTTTTTATCTTTTCAGATTTATAAATTTAACTACCAACAGTACACGCACAACCATGAGTATTGAGATACCCGTGGGATTGACAGAACTGCTCCAGGGCTACACTGTGGAGGTGTTGCGACAAAGGCCGTCAGACCTGGTGGATTTTGCAGTACAGTACTTCACCCGTTTGCGAGACTCCAGAAGTCAAGATGGGTCCAGCACAGGTGGTAAGCCAGGAAAAGGGGTGATGTTTGATGGGGAGCCCATGCAAACAGAATCCAACGGAGATGATGAAGAAGATGATGACTCCGACTTTGAACGTGAGTTGGTATTTTGTTTTTAGATGTTCTGTTCTCAAAATTACGATTTCAAAATCAACAAAACAAGTTTGATGCAATTTTGTGGTGGTTTTATGAAATTTATGCAGTTTGCTGAAGTTTAGTCATCCAACACATATAATACTAAAGTATTCACTGGTAGCTAGTGTCCAAAAGCCCCTTCAATAGAAAACCAGCTCTAATTCACAGAATGTACCTCTAGAATTTCTTGCAATGCAAAAATCAGTTTACTACAAGTGTATCTGAAGCACCCTCCGTGTTGATGGTATCACAGAAACAGCTGTGCATGCTTTGAGCTTCAAGTGAATCAGAAGATTGATTCAGTGTAGTTTTGAAAATGACCAAACAGCATCACTAAAGCCATGTCTTTTGCATATTGACCCCTTCCTTCTGTGCTACTAAGAGAAGTTTGACCTAGGTTAAAACTCAGTAATATGCATGCATGGTTTTTCTTTGTCTGAATGGCGTCTAACTGAAAAGGGTGAAATCTGCAAAAATTCTGCAGTCATCAAATGAGTAGTTAATACCCTCAAAATAATTTTGGATGCCATTATCGCATCTTATCTGACGTTAAAAAAACACTCAGATTTAGGCTTGGGCTGCTAATGTTTTTGGCATTCCAAGTTGTTTACATCTAAATTATGCTATATGCATTAGCTATAAAGTGCATTGAAGCCGTGCAGCGATAAAAGTGAAGGACGTGGGTATGACGCATTTGTAGACATTGGATAGCTGTTGTTTCTGTCAGGCGTGGTAAACAAGGACGTTCAGCTGTTTCAGAGTGACAGTGGAGAGAAATATAAGCTGCTTTGTGTCTAATTGTTCTGACAGGACTCTAGAATACCTGATGCTGCTTAAATTTCAGTTTAAGTCTGATTCTTTTATGTATGCCATGACAATTAATTGAATGCTGAAAGCAATATTGGTCATCTTTGCAGATTTGTACAAGGTGGCTTATGGTGAATGGAGGATTACACTGCTTGTTTCACTTCTCTCACAAGTTGAATTTGGCTGCTGTCAAACAGCTGTGACCTCCACTCGGAGACCGCTGTGTGTTTACTGGCAGATGTGTGTGTAGGACTGCGAGTTTTTGTTAGTGAAGGGAATGTCTGAGCCTATGAAGTAGCTGTGTTCTGACTCTATGTCACAGCAGGTCAAATTCCAACCTGGTTATCGCACAAAGCTGCAATACCTGTGTGCGTCTCTTAGTTAAAAATCATTTGAGGTTGTTTCTACATGTTATCTAAGAGGAAAATGAAAATTTAGAGTTGTTGCGCTTTGGGGATGCTGGAGGTTACACACATGACTTCCATGGCATTAAATGAGCCAAACAGGCTTTTGTACTCTTCTTTCAGGGGATTTTAATTTCTGATGGGAACAACACAGGCCTGTATATGGAAAGAAGTCATGTGTCTGTTTATTTATTTTTACCAGACCACTGCTGTTTCCTTTAGGTGTTAAGAATAGAAATCTTCTGCAAAATACACAACAATAACGCATGAAATGAGTGAATAAAAATAAAGTATTGTGGGATTTTCTGTTCTGTATTGACATTGTTGGCTTAATTCTAATTGATTAACACATTTTTACAACAAACTGTGACTGTCTAAATTACTTCTGTACTGTCTATGAAATCATTTTAAACATGTGCTAAAAGGTTTGCACATGCAGCGTGGGAACATTGAGGATCTTTATGATGCGCCCCTAGAAGTTTGAATCTGCTTCTTTAACTTTATATATATGTATATATGTGTGTGTGTGTGTGTGTATATATATATATATATATATACACAGCATTTTTTTAAATGGGCCATTGACACATTTTGAGTAAAAACCCTTGGATGAAGAATAATGGTTATTGTGAAAATTGTCTTTAAATGATCATATATTTGTACGTAAGAATTCTGACACATTTTGGTTTCATTTTTATTCGGCTCCTTACAGTTCTGATGATTCACCCGTGTGCTCATAACCTTTACGCCGCACTGCAGGAAGTCACTGTATGCGAGTGCTGGCTTAGCGCCTGATATGTAAATGAACTAGATGGCTGCTTTGTATTCTCATGGTGAGTACGGGATCTTCCTGTTAGTGTGATGTCAGATTTTTGGACATGCTTTGTTTATGTAATTTTAGATGCTTAAATCCACAATAGTACCACTCCTCTGGTCTGAGCCAGTTAATGAAAGGAGAAACTGTTTTCAGTACAAACTCTTTAATATGTGGCAGAGCTGCTGATGTTAAAAGTATTCCCCTCTGTGTGAAGGCCCAGCTACTCTAAAAGGACACATTATGCCACTTTGTCACAAGTTAAACAATTTCTTGAGGTCTTTATCAAATTAACATTTTCTGATCAAGATAAAACAATACTTTAGTATCAAAGCACTTTTTGTACAGCTTGGTTTTTCAGTTACTTTCTTTGTAGCTGACTTTAGACTCCTCTCAGCATTGTTTTAGGATTGTTTTATCCGTTCTCATCTTTCATACCCTCAAAGTTTTTAATAGTCAGGCTGGCCCACTACTTCACAACAAATCTTGTTTGTTTTTTTTACTCTTAAATATGAACTTCTCTCTAAATAGGATTTTTTGTAGAGGTTCCGGAAAAAAATCAATTCTCGTCTGAACCGAGATAGTTATTTATAAATATTCTTAGTCAAATAAGTTCCAAGTTTCATTACTTGGGAAGGCATTTTCCAAATATTTCCTAGCTTATTTGCTGCTGGTACTGTTTCAGTCAGCATCATTCATACTGTCAGATTCATGGCTCAGTAATTCAGACACCTGGCAGATTTCTAATTTACAGAAGAAAACGTTAATCCTGGAATTGACACTCTGTTACTAAGAGTGTTGGGAATCCATTGGAGTCGAGAATCAATTGTGAATCAAATCAAATAGAATCATGAGTTGTTGTAAGATTTGCATCCCTAGTTTTTTGTAATCAAGGTTAAATTAGTTTTAACCATGGAAGTCATGTGTGTAACCTCCAGCATTCCCAAAGTGCAACAACTCTAACCACCTGCTGATGGTGGTCGGAGGGACTGGTGGCGCCTGTGCTCGGCAGCCTCACCTCTGTCAGTGCGCTCCAGGGCAGCTGTGGCTACATCGTAGCTCATCACCATCAGTGTGTGAATGTGTGTGAATGGATGAGTGATGCACTGTAGTGTAAAGCGTTTTGGGGTCCTTACTCTGAGAGGCGCTATACAAGTGTGGGTCATTTATCATTATAAGAAATTCACTTCAATATTTTCTGTCAAACACAGAAAATGTTTTATATATATATATATATATATATATATATATATATATATATATATATATATATATATAAAATCAATTTTTTGTTTTTTTACAACATTGCTTCTTGAAATGGGTCCAAGAAAAACTGTTTCTGCAACTGGAAGCTATTCCTTGAGCTTTTGTGTTGCATTTGTAACTTTAGCCCCATTCCCACCTGTACCGGGTCGGCCCGGGCCGGGTAGCGTAGGTTGTTTACATATCTGGGTGGCCTGGAATTTTCCCGGGCCAACCAAGGCTCATTCTCGGCCCTCTTCCCGAGGGGTACTGCTTCAGGCCGACCAGGGCCAACACGCCCACTGCTGACAGCAAATTCACACCTTCCATTAGAGCAAGCCTCTGATTGGTGGGTAGAATCAGCCCACATGGGCTTAAGACAAGGATGTGTGGAATCAACCGGGCCAGGCTGGGGCCGACTGGGGCTACCCGGCCCGGGCCGACCCGGTACAGATGGGAATGGCCCATTTGTTGGGTCTCAAAATGACACAGGAGCTTTGATCAATGCCCAAATACAACCCATAGTAAAGCCCTACACAAGACACAGAGAAGAATATTAAATGATCTGCATTCTGATTGGCCAGTTTATCCCGATGGCTCTATGATTACCTAAAGCTAGAACCTTTTGTACCTACATTAACAACTCATTAGACCAGCCTTGTATCCATCTGGCATTCATTTAAAGTCAGAATATTCCCAATATAACTCAGGCTAGCATTCTGTGTGTAATAAAAATGAACTTGTCATCTGTTGTATAATTGCTTTATACAAGTTATTGATCACTACTGTTTGTCAATCACACTTATCATGAGGATGTAATCAAGGAGAGCCGAACATAATGTGATCATGAGGATGTAATCAAGGTAATCCTGGTGGAGGTGTGCAGCTTTGCACGCACATCAGGGAATGTATAAGGAGCAGAGCAGAGCTCAGAGCGGATAGAGCTGTTTGAAGGATTCTATTTGACGAGGTTCATGGATTACGTTTTCTAACTGGGGTGTTCAGCTCTCCACCCATAAGCAACGGTAAGAGAAATGTTTCGTTCATGATTGATAACTTGTATGAATGCCGGTTGAATAAAGCCTTGTTGTTCATCTGATATTCAAGTTGTGTTTCATTGTTTCTGGCGTCGACTTGACAACGATCCTGATTAAATAAATATAAAGTGTAAAAAGAGACTTTGAGTCTTTTAAGGTAATTAAAATAAAATAAAACATTTTATTTTAGAACACTGTGTTAAGCATTACTGCCACTAACATTTATGTATAGATGTAGACAAAATTGTTGGTACCCTTTGGGCAATGAAAGAAAAACCCATAATGGTCACAGAAATATCTTGAATCTGACAAAAGTAATAGATAAAAATTTGATGAAATTTAATAAATGATAGTCAAGCATTACTGTTCAATCATGCTTAAATATAATTATTTAAAGAAATAAACTAATGGAACAGGCCTGGACAAAAACGATGGTACCCTTAACTTAATATTTTATTTCACAACCTTTTGAGGCAATAACTGCAATCAACCTATTCCTATAAATGCAGCTCTCAGCAGGTATTTTGGCCCACAGGTTTGAAGGAAGGCATTTCCAGACGGCGTGTTTCAGCTCCTTCCAAAGATTCTCAATAGGATTGAGGTCAGGGCTTATAGAGGGCCACTTAGAATAGTCCAGTGTTTTCCTCTTAGCATTTT